GACTAAATGTATTCAAGAAGACGGATCACATCCCTCCAACATTATCTCCGGTCATGTAATCATCGTTCATCTGAGAGCGTAAATTTTCATTTCATAAACCCTATCAGCTCGCTAGCAGAGAAGATATGACACATAGACACACATGATTTCGTTTTTCTTCAGAAATGTAATATGGGCGCCTCGAAACTACTACTTCGAATAAAGGTGACATGGCATGTTTACACGTTGGCAAAAGTAATACCCGAGCAACATGTAACTGGGATTTGCAAGTCATTTGTAGGCAATCTTACATATATGAACTCTTTAAATAAGTATGTGTATATAGACTATTAAACCTATAGACATTTTTTGAACAATTCAGCGTATTTGTATAAATCCAATAACTTTTTAATCCAGACAACTGTTGTCGGTTACGAGATTTCTCCCGGATTTCCGCCTCCGATCTACCAGATTCTCACCGCGATCCGCCCCCATCGCCGGAGTACGTTGATGCTACCAATGGACTTATATTAATTAATTAAATTATGGGTAAAATTATAATGTTTAGTCCTTTTTAAGAAAAATCAAACATGCCTTTCCTTTCATTATTTTCTTGTTAAAATTTGTTTACTTATTTACGGTTAGATATTTATTAGTTCAATACGTAGTATCATATTTTTTCAATTTTTGTGTTAGCGGTTTATCAATGAAACACAATAATTGTTAAATATATTTTTATTTCCTCACGGGTAACATACAACTTACAGAATTGAACCGAAGTGATACTATGAATTCTTATATATGTTCTTCAAAAAATCCTAGAACTGAATCAATACTGGATTAATTACCGGTTCTTCAAGTGATTACTAATTTTCTTCTGAAGAATCGAACCGATCCCACCTCTAAATTTTCTTCATAAGATAGTATCAGACAACTTTTTAATCAAACACGTAACTTTTGATTTCGCGCACCGAATTCTGTAATAATAAGAAAAACTAAGGTTGGAGTTACTTTTCTGGTTGTATTGGCTGAAGTTACTGTAGATAATCATTTTAACTATTTTTCATATAATTTTTTCCTTATTTTATTAATAAAATGTACGGAGTATATATTTTTTCCCATAAATCAGCAGAATCAACTAATACAGCCACTTCATCCGGAACTTCATAAATTTCAGCAGAATAAGCCGATACAGTCGATTTTAATATTACCAAACAGGTTGTATATATAAAAACACTTTTGATTTTTTAAGTTTGTCTTGTTTACCAGAATAGATGTAGATCTATGTGTTCAATTATAGTACATTTTGTTTTACCTGCAATTATTTCTTTTTGTTCTTTGGTGTGCAATCAATCTATTTTATCTTACTTTTCACCCTTATCTTTCTTCTCTCTTAATGTAGTAAATAAAAAGAATCTCATCATTACCAATGTTCAATTAATTATACAATAAGCCAAAGTATGGTAAACATCAGGGACAGAGGAGTACAATTCATGAAATTGACTACGTAAAATTTGCAAATAATTCCTATTCCGATTACAATACACTCTTTCATTAACCGCCTTAGGGCGTTACGGAGCATTATAAATTTATAACCGTGGGCGTCGCTTGCTCCGCAATTATAACTCTACACTTCTACAGTGGTGTGTAATTGCTGACGCCCCCACGTCTCTTTTCTTTTTCAGTTCTTCAAAATTTTGAACTTTCATTCATGAATGGGGGTGCCCCGCAATATGACGGTTGCAATTCACTCCGTTGTGTAGGGTTTTGTTTCTTTTTCTTTTTTCTACTTCCAGAGCATCTGCTAGCAAGGGCCTCCATTCTCAATCAACTCCAGCTCTTCTTCTTCTACATTCTCCTCTAAAGCTTCAGTAAGAATTTTATTTAGTTTTTCTATTTCCGTTTTATATATTTATTGCATTTATTTTCTTTAAGCGTTGTTATTTTGTTCTGTTCTCCAGTGTTATGTAATTTTTCTATGGGATTTCCTCTTTTATGTTGGATTCTTAAAGCTCGAAAAGTCGGAAGTCATGCATCTACTATGTATTGTATTTGGTGCTTTATTCTTTCTCTGTTATTAGTAAGGTGGTTATCGTTTTTAGTAATAAATTGGTCAATTTGTGTCGATTTTGGTAATATGTGTGTTTATTTATGTGAATGTTGGGCGTATAGAGTTATTTCTTCAAGGGATGTTCAGTGTTCACTTGAACAGTTGTCTTCTTCAACTCTCGCATTCCAGTTATATCGAAAGAACAATTGGGATTCTAGTGAAAGAAATTATCAATGCTTTTTCTTGCTCTAGTTCAGGGAATTAAAGTTTATTTGTTGTTTATAGATGTTTATGATACACCCTTCACTGCTTGTGCTGATTATATGGAAACAAACTGATTTGATGATTGGCTCCGCTTGCACCATAGACGTTGGAGTCGGGTTTTTTATATGTCTTAGCATAAACAAGTCCCAATCAATGAGTCCCTGAAGAGACCCTGTGATTTCAATGACAATGGTGACCCTTTTTGTGCAATTCAACCGAATTTCAAGCGCACAAAGTTTGACGGAAACAAAAAATCTCCTAACTGTAATGCCGTCAAACTTGGAAGCTGCCTGAGTATTGCTCAGAGCATTTTTTATATGAAGACTTGTAGCTCTAGTAGCTATTATGAAAAACACAGGGAATTCAGCGACAGTGAGCAGAGATATGCATTGAAGGAAAAATCAAATAATGTTACTGAAATTGGAGTTCCTTCAAAGCATGGTTTGTGTGAAAGGCGACCTTCGATGGCATGAAGAAATGTATGGTTACGATGAAAGTACAGAATAGAGTATTACAGGGTAATACACCCAAGATTCCTACAAGTCAGTTTCAACATGGATGTCACTCTGTAATTGATGAAATAGATTCTCATGATTCATTATTGAGGGACCATCATTCACAAAAGCTTGATTCAAAGTACTCTTTTGAAAACAACGATACTGTTGAGCATCCAAGCAGGCAAGTTGCAAATTGTGAAGAGGGCTTGTTGTTTGGTGATAAAGTAGTAGTCTTGAATATGTCAGGACAGTCTAGGGTATCAACCGATCAAACTTTATACAAAGATGAAGACCATTGTCGTTTGTTCTACTGTGTTCCCGATTATGGGGTATCTGTTGAGTACCATATTCAGAAACCAGAACAATCTAAAGACTGCATATATCTTATTTTTGATATATACAACATTGAGGAATCCCGTAGATGTGTGGAACAGGCCTTGAAGCATTTCTGGGATGTGTACTACAGACGTTTGCAAGCATACAAAGCAGAGAATAAAGACCAAGTAAAAGTTAGGCATATGACTGAAGTAAAGATCTAGACAGCAGTGTATCTTAGGTCTGCAAACAAGTGGGTCAATTCTGAAAAGGTCTATGTTGGGCATGTTCCTGGATCAGAAATTGGTGATAAATTTCAGTTTAGAGGTGAACTTGCTGTAGTAGGTCTTCATCGCCAATTTGTGCATGGCATAAATTATGTGAAAATCCAAGGGAAGAACTTTGCAGTTAGCATAGTCGATTCCAGCCGTTATGATAACCAGATGATATCGCGAAACAGTTTCATATATGTCAGTCACGGTGGAAATCCAAAAGTTTACGGCAATGACCCAAAGGATCAAAAGCTGATTCGCGACAATCTTGCCCTGAAAAATAGCAAGGAAAAAGGTATACCTGTAAGGGTTATCCATGGTAATAACATGTACGTATATGAGGGTCTTTTTCGGGTGACCAAGTGTTGGGAAGAAAGAGATGACTACGGAAAAATGGCATTCAAGTTCGAGCTCCATAGAATCTCAGCCCGCCCACCACCAAGCCTCACCAACAACAAAATCTTCGGGTGCCAAAAGTCAAGAAAACTCAACACGGAACGCATTGTGGTCAAGGACCTTTCTCAGGGTAGGGAGAATTTCGCCATACCCGTGTTTAATGATTCATATGGCGAAACACTGTCGTCTTTCAGTTACATGACAAGCGTTAGATATCCTGACTGGTATCATCCGTCAGCCCCAGTTGGCTGTATTTGCGAAAATGGGTGCTCGGATTCTATTCGTTGCTATTGTGCAGTTAAAAACAGAGGTAGTATCTCGTTCAACAGCCAAGGATCTATTAGTAATATTCACTCAAACCCCGTTATTTACGAGTGTGGCCCATCCTGCAAATGCACACGATCGTGCAGAAACAGAGTAAGCCAAAGAGGTTGTCGGTATCAGCTGGAGGTCTTCATGAAAGGGTCGGATGGTGGGGTATGGGGGGTAAGGTCGCGGGATTACATATCAACTGGGAGCTTCATCTGCGAGCTTGTTGGAGAGTTGGTTGAAGATGACTCTAATGGAAAAGGATTTGGTTACAGAATTAATGGAAGTGGTTTCAGAATCGACACCGAGCGTTACGGAAACGTAAGGAGGTTTATCAAATGTGGCCTGGCAGCGAACATTTACGCACAGAACGTCGTGTTAGACGATGATTACGGGATTGTCCCTCATGTAATGTTTTTTGCTTCTAAGAGCATTCCACCCGGGCGTGAACTTATACGCCCAGTTTAAAGTATACATAGGAAATCCTCTTTCCATGGTTTGACCTAACCATCCTCGAATTATGAGACATGAAATGCTGTTTTAAAACTACCTTCGACACCAACATCATCTTTTTTGTTCACATACACTATTGGATACACGTTTTGTGTTCATGTGCATACTTTTTTAACATTCTAGTAAGCGAATCTCATATGATTAATTTTATATATCTGATATTTCATATATATGTGTGTATTATATGTAATTATTTTTTGAATGGTTACACGCTCACTGTAAATTTTGGAAGGGTGAATAATACTAGTAGTAATTATTATAGGAGTAATATTCTAAAGTAATTCAAAAAAATGAAAGAAGTGGTACTAGAAACGGTAAAACCGTTTTTCACTGATTTCGGCATCTCATTCTCTCCATCAATCGTATTAATTACCTAAATGATCATATGATTATCAACCCTTACGTAATTACTGAAGAGAGAGGGGTATTGGGAAGATGTATAGATCAGGAAGCGCTAATAGAGTATGGGATGATTACGTGAAGTACGATTCATCATCTTCTTCTTCATCGAAACATTCTCCTGCAATTATTAAAGGTTTGTCTCTAGAAACAAACAATGGCGAATTCAACCAGCCGCCAATCTCCTCCGATCACGCGGCCAAGAAAGAAAGGGCTCGTACAAAGCTTGCTGAGAATGCCGTCCATTTAATTCCTTTGGTTCTTTTCCTATGTGCTTTCGTTCTTTGGTTTTTATCCAATCCTGGTAATTAATTTGTTCTCTTATAAATAATGTGACAATTGGAAAAAATTTAATCTCAAATCAGATCTGACCATCACATAAAATCAAAATAATCTCAAAGGACATTAATCTCAAGGAAAATTGCTCTAAAAGGAGTAAAAATGTTTGAGTTTTTCAAAATAGGAATATTGTTATGCTTTTATTCCATTAATAGAAGTAATTACTTCTATATAGAGAATAAAACATGACAATCATATTTTGAAATTTCTAAACGTTTTACTCTTATTTCAGAAATTTTCCCTAATTACAATACAAGTTTTCGAGAAATAGGGATAAATTAAATCTTTTATTGTTCATTTGTTGTACTACCTCCTCTTTCAATTGCAACATTGGACTTTTTGCATTATTCACATACTCTACTTTGACTATATTTTATTTATTCCTCTCATTTTAAATTTTCAAAATCTGATTTTTTTAATTTTATTACTAATAAGGAATGGAAGATATTAATAGTCAAACTTGTGCGTTGACAAATGTGAAAAGTGGATCGTTGCAATTAAAAAAAATGAATGAAGTACATTTTTTGGATTGGTGCTCTCCTTGTGATTATATTTTGGTGTTAGGTAGACTAGAACAAATTAAAATAGATTAAAATAGATTTAGGCTACGTAAAATATGAATATGTCAAATCTTACGGAATTGGCATACGTTGACAGATGATTTCGTACCAAATAGCTCGTGTCAAAGTGTTTTTGGCACAAATTTGACATACCCTGATCAAATCCCTATGAATCTTGGCGAATTATTCCGACCAAAAATTTCTGTCAATATCGTGTCTTTTAGTTTATGTATATCAAATCATATCCTATCCGGGTTAAAAGATACTAATCTCGATATATGTTTTCCATGCATGTATGTTCATGTAATTTGTGAACTAGATATTGAAGTTCCAATTGGCGGGGATGCGGTGGCGGCGAGAATAGAGGGGATGACGATAGAAGGGGACGTGGATAGCAGCGATGGTACACAAACAGGGAATTTGCCACTGGAATCGAATGGCCGCAAAAAATCAAAATAGTTTCCGTCCATGAGCAATCAAGCTTAATTAATTATATGAGGATCAATTTGACACTGTGGAAGCTAGCTAGACAATTATTTTTATGGATTAAGGTTAAGTAGATAAGATTATTTAGAAAAACAATTCAGGAATGAAAGAGGCTACGGCTAATTTTTACATTTCGTTGGGAAATAATAAGGTACCGGTTATCTCTTGTTCGGAAACTAGAGCAGGTTGTGATGGTTACCATTGAATTGAGCTAACATTTTTTTTCAAACTTTTTTTTTGTGTGTTTTTTCTTGGGGGGTGGGGGGGGGGGGGGGGGCTGGGGTCGGGGGGGGGGGGGATTTGGGGTTTGAGGGGGAGAGAATACAAAAGCTCAAACTGCTCCCGACGGAAATTGAACTCCTAACCTCCAGGATAATTGGGTGACTTCACAACCAACTAAGCTAGTTGCTTCGTCTGAACTAACATTTTTTTAATACTCCGTAATATTCACGACGTACCATCAATTTATTTGTGTGCAAATAAGCTTTACTTTGGATTGTAAATTAAAAGGTATTGATATTTGGGCAATCAAACTTTTTACCAAAATCACATATAGATCAAAATAGTAGTGATTTTATTAGAGCATCTCCATTCATGATCTCTAATAATCAATTTTTTCTATGATTCTTACCATTTAAATATTGTTATATAATTAATTATAAAATAATCTCAAAATTTGTTTATGTCTCTCAATCACCATCTTCAAATAATCTATTTTTTCTCTGTCTTGCATTAATCTCTATTACATATATTTTTCAAATAATCTTAAAATAATCCGGATTCATATTTTGATCCCAGATTATTGTAGCAAATAATCTCATTAAATAATCTATGTCACTCAATGATAATTCCCTAAAAAAACTTCCATGTCACCAAATTAATCTCATAATAATCCTCCCAATGAGGATGCCCTTAAGAATTTTCTAATTGTTGAGGAAGTTTTGAATGTATATTTTCTCAATATTCTCCAAATGGAGCTCCATCTTCATCATCACCTCTAATCTCTAAAAAAAAAAGAAGTTTCTATATATATGTGTGTCAGTGTATTATGTATATAGTAGGTTCAAATTGTAAATTATAAATATATCAAGCCCAATCGTTGGTTAACCTTCCGTTAAACGAAATTGAACTACTTATTACTCTACTAATCAAACGAAATGAGAGCATATATAGTAGATTCAAATTGAGCTTTTCCGTGTCCAATAGCTACAAACGGAAAGAGAATGACCTAATCTTGACACCAAACCTGTGGAGTATAACACAAAGATGATATGAAATTGTTCATAACTTCTGATTAAAATCTAATATACATCATTCAGCTAATTGTCCGGTCGATATTGAGACCCTCAAAAGTCGAGTGTCATCCATTTTTAAAAAACGTTCTTTGTTCAAAGTACTATCATAAAAGTATAAATTTATTTAGTTTCACATTAATATATTAGTTAATATAATGCATCAAAGTTTATCATCTTTGATTGGAGTGTTGAGGAAGAGATGTAACATATATTCCGTACTATATATTAATTAAATGACTGTATATAGAATAGTAATTGTGACTATAAATAGAATAGTCCTAATTAGAAATTTTAGAGCATATACATACATACATGAGTTTTTTCCCGAAATAATGCTAATTAAATAAATTATTCCCGAATTACTGCCGGGTTAAGAATAATTCTCAAAATACTGCTGGAATTAACCACGGTTAAGGAAAGCCGTCACTCCAAGTGATGGTTCTTGTGTTACTTCACAAAAGCCATCACTCCGAGTTGTGGCTCTTCTCTTGTAGTACAAAAGTTGTCACTTCAAGTGACAGCTCTTCTCTTACGGCCCATTTTGTACATATATAAAACGCAGTATGTTTCAAGAATTTGTTTAACTGCCTTCCCGATTGAATTTTGAGCTGAAATTTGGTATTCGTAAACTAGACTTGATGATGAACATGCTCAAAAAATTTCATCAAAAAAATTCACCGGAAACACCCTCTGATGGTGTTGTCCGCGGGGGGTTCCGGTCAGGACGTCATTACAAAAGGGTGGTCCGGCCAGGGTCGTCTTTAGAAAATTTGATGCCCCAGACAAGAAACTAAAACTAATTACATGAAGTAAATAATTTAATAAAATAATTAAAAGAAAAATGTAAAAACACACTGAAATTCAAAGACAATCAATATAATAAATTGGAGTAATTTCGAAACTTGTCTATGGTGGTAATTTCGATTTAAACTTTTTTTACATACCTCTCCTTACGGCCTACTCTGTATAAAATATTATATTATTATTTGATGCATTTGTTTATTAATTTTTTCTCTTTGAAGCACCTAAATCTTGTATTATTTGGTCCATTTGTTTATTAGCTTTTCATAGCGAAAACTTTAAAAGTAACAATATGATACGAACTTAATCAAATTACAATAAATTATAGTAAAAGCTATTGGATGTGTTTTGCAATGAATAATATTAACATAATTTATAAGGAACAAGTTTTGATATATATGTGTGTGTTATAACACAAGTAGTTAATATAATATTAAGAAATTCATTTGGCATGAAATTGAATTGGATATAAAATTGCAAATATTGGTAAAATTGTATTTAAATGGAATGAAAAATCACTAAATTTGTATGGTGGCGCCTAAACACTTAAGTTTTTTCTGTTTAATTTTGACTTTTGCTTTGCCCTATGAATTGGTGGCATGTCTGGAAATATAATACAAATAAATTTATGAGAAATAAATTAATCTTGTGTTCTTGTATAGCAACAAATAGATTTGATTGAATTTTAAATTATGTTAAACTGCCTCATGAATTTTAGAATTCTAATACTCTGTATTATACTACCTATGTCCCGCTATGATTGTCTCATTTTACCTTATCGGTTTGTCCTACTAAGATTGTCTCATACCAAATTTGGTAAAGTTTGTGTGGCTCTAAATCATTCTTACTTTATTCTTACTTTATCAATTCAATATCAACCACATAAACCATTTTTTATTAATTTGTGTGTCACTCCCTCTTGTCCCGTTGTTAGCGGGACGAATGGAATAATAATTCCCATACATATATATGTTGCATAACTCATCCCACGCACATGACTTTTTGTGGAATAATACTTTTCTCTTTTTTATTTGTTTAACAAACTTGTTAGAGATAAGGAATACATAGTATATGGTGTTAATATTTTTTTCTAAAATTGATGCCCCTAAAGCTTTTGGTGCCCTAGGCACATGCCTATGTGCCTCCCCCCAAAAGCCGGCTCTGGGTCCGGCCACCTCAATTTCAGGTGATTCCTGGTGAGATGTTTTGCTGAATTTTTTTGTATATGTTATTCATCAAGTCTAGTTAATACATACCAAATTTTAGAACCAATCTCGATCGGGAAAGCAATCAAATGATTTTTTAAAAGATAACTGCCTTTTATATGTATAATCCGGCGTAGTTATCTTTCAAAAATCATTTGACGGCTTTTCGGATTGAATGTTTTGCTCAAATTTGGTATGACTGAACTAGACTTAATTACGAACATACACAAAAAAATTCATCAAAACATACAACCGGGAACCACCTCAAATTGATGTGGCCGAACCACCCTTTTGTCATGACGTCCTGACCGGAACACCCAGCGGACAACACCATCAGAGGGTGTTTGCAGTGGAATTTTTTGATGAAATTTTTTGAGCATGTTCCTCATCAAGTCTAGTTTATGCATACCAAATTTCAGCTCAAAATTCAATCGTAAAGGCAGTTAAACAAATTCTCAAAACATACTGCGTTTTATATATGTACAAAATGGACCGTAGGAGAAGAGCCGCCACTTGAAGTGGCGGCTTTTGTACTATAAGAGAAGAGCCGCCACTCGGAGTGGCGATTTTTGTGAAGCAACACAAGAGCCGCCACTTGAAGTGGCGGTTTTTCTTAACCGTGGTTAATTCCAGCAGTATTTTGGGAATTATTCTTAACCCAGTAGTATTTCAGGAATAATTTATTTATTTAGCATTATTCTGGGAAAAAACTCTACATACATACATATAGATAAGCCCACCCATCTTCCAAAAAAAGATAAGCCCACCCATACTAATGCGGGATAAAGCCCAACCCAACTAATGGGGGGAATTCCAACTAACTACGCCGTCTTCAGTATAAAACGGTTACAAGATCTCCCGCGTGCGGGCCTTATTCGAAGACGAACAAAAAAATTAAAAAAAAAAAACTCTAATTCCACCGGACACTATAAAATATGAAAACGGCCCCCATTCTTCTCTGAATCCGCCGGAAACTCTTAACCCCGCAAAAAATCAAGAAACGCTACAAGATTCCAGCCATCAAAGCAAACTTCGTTCGATCTTCATTCTTGAACCCCTGACCGGAAGTTCGCCGCGATGGTGCTCCGAGTGACGGTGGTCAACCCAGGGAACCTGAGAGAAGCGACTGAGGCGGTGACGCCGTCGCAACTAACCCGGCACGTCATCATGATCTGGACCCCTGAATACCTGGCTTTTCAGTCCACGATTACGGAGAGGATGTCCGCATCGACCGAGAACGGCTGCGGAGATAACAACACCGCCCTCCTCAAGATCGACCCTGCGGCGTCGCCGGCGGTGTTCTCCTCGTACCACTCCACCGACGCTTACTTCAACGCCGTCGTGGAGACCGTCGATCTCCAGGCCGTGCTCTTCACTGCTCAAAATTCTGACACCATTGTGTTTTCCCAGTCTCTAGAGGTCGATAACCTTATCAACGACTTCGGTTACTTGCGGGCCCGCTTTGACCGCCCTGTAGGTCAGTCCTCCGCCCACTCCATTCATGCATATTCTTGATCTTTAATTAATAATTTGAATGTTACACAATTTAGATAATTTAAAGTATCTTTAAATTTGTTCTAATGTAGATTGTCTAAACACATTTTTCTCATAATTGGGTCTAATTACTTATAGTCAATTAGATACAATAATGTCAGTTTGATGATCGAGGGCTAATTAATTTTCCTTCTAATAAAAAGTAGGGATTTTTTATTCACTTTAAGACGTTGGGGAAATACGAAGTATTTGGAATTATATACTACTACACGTACTATTAATAAAGGGTGCATTTTCCACCTTTTCTGATCCCCAGCTATATGTGTACATATAGAGACTTGATACTTGTATGTATACGTGTATTATATTCTGCTAGGAGCGTTATTATATGCTATAGTTTTTTTCTTTTTTTATTTTATTTTATTTTAATTTATTAAAGTATAGTATCAATTGAACAAATTATATTAAGAAAAGTTTCTTTAAATTTGTCCTATATATAGTGTAAATTGTCTAAAGATACGTTTTGTATAATTGTTTTTGATTGCTAAGAGTCAACTAAATATAACAATGGTGTAGACTTGCAGATCAATAGGAAATGATCAATTAGTTTAAGTTGCAACTACTATGCAGAGTTGATAAATGATGATGGCAAGTGAAACAGGAACATTGGTATTTCGGTGTTTATTGTAATGTATTTTTGTATTTAAAGTTGATGAGACATTTAGACCAGGCTAATTTGCCTTTTAATAAAAATTAGTTAGGGATTGTTTTTCATCTCAATTAAAACTTTGGGCCAAGGAAAATATTTGGAATTTTAATTTTTATGTATAGCCAAAACATTTATAAATTTCTAATCCTACGTATATGATTAACAAATTAAACGTAAACATGTTTAATAATATAGCATGAAATTATTTATGTGGATCAGGAGCATATAATGAGGACTACATATCAATGAAAATATATGGGGTAGTTCCTGAGCGAATGCTTAAAACTGCTGACATCTCAAAGGATCCAACAGTTGTTCCACTTCCCCCCTTGGCTACACTAAATGCACTTACTTTTTCCAACTCTCTAGCAGTTATGAGGGGGGTTACCAGGTCAGGTATGTATAATGTATGTATATATGTGGCTATTTATTTTGACGTATATATAATTATTTCATTTGAGCCAATTTCTAGTTGATGATTTCATGCAGTTGATATATCGGTAAAGAAAGGTGAAGTCTATTTCTCTCCTGTGGATGTAAAAACGAATCCGCTCATTTTGAACCTAGAGGTACATACATGCATACGTTCTATATATACACTTGTGCATACTATACGAAGCATGCATATATATATATATATATATATATATATATATATATATATATATATATATATATATATATATATATATATATATATATATATATATAATACTTGATGCATGCATGGATATGAATAATTGAATAAATGATGATGTATGTAGGGGCGGAGGCAAGACACTCGGTCAGACTGGATCGATACAGAGAATATTTTTGAAAAAATGTTTACACGAAATTTTTTACACTAAAAGTATACACCTTTTATAAAATTGGCCCTCCCCTAGCCCCTTGGATGTATGCATGTATATATATTGTCATGCATCATGCATGCATGCATGCACAACTAACGTACGAACTTATGTACATGCGGCAGTTTGGGTTGATTTCTACGAGGGAGGACATTCGAAAGAATGAGGCGGTGGAGTTTAAGATAAATTTGCTATTCCTGGATTTAAGGTTGGCAGGGGTCACGTCGGCGGAGGTGTCGGTGTATAAACGGCCAAAAGATGTGGTTTTGCTATGGTATAAACTGGACGACACAAAAGGCTGGCTTCTCAAGGGAGACATTTTCTACTACTTATATTAATCAGACACAATTAATTAACTAGGCTGGAGTATGTATAATAATAATGCATGAAGTCGTCTTATACTGCATATATGTCTTAGTTAATGATTTGTGCACAGTTCGATCATACGTATGATTTTTGCTAGCGAAGTAGTAAGTAGTCATTTCATCCGTTCGTGCGTTGATCGGATTATCATATTTGTCTTCCTTTTACAAGTCATACATATGTTCTTGTAATTATGTGTGTTTGAATTGATGACCATAATTATAAATGTCATCTCTTTTGCGTATTTACGTAAATTTCTGACAAGTTTGACATTACTAGGTTTTAAAACATGTCATTTTTTTCCAAACTTGGCAGGTTACTCCTATTCAGGGAATAAAAAACATGATACTCCTATTTTGGAATTTCAAAACGTTTTTGCTTCTATTTAGAGCAATTTCTATTGCGTATTCATTCAACCATTAATGGTCCTGGACAAGATTACTATTAGCATTACGAAAACTATAATAATACTCGCTCCATCCCATTACGAGGTTTCCACTTTCCTTTTTTGGACGTCTCGTTAGAAGGTTCCCATTTTCATTTTAGGAAACAATTAAGAAGCGTAAGTGACAAATTAATCATTAAATATTAAAAAAAATACATTTATAACATCACAGTTATCAATACTAACTACATAAAAATATATACCTATTAAAATTATTTCTCAAAATATACTCGAAGTACTTTATTTAATTATTGCCTAAATAACCGTGGCGTTTTGCTATGGGAACCTTCCAACGGGATGGAGGGAGTGTTGTTCATTATTTAATAGAACATGCCGTAAATATGTGCATTAATTTGTTGCCATATCATATTGCATTTGACGAGCACTTTGTCACGGTGCGTCAAAATAAATTCAATACTAAACACTTATACGTAGTATAGTGTAGTAGAGTTCGTATCCACAGGGAAAGGTATAATTCTCTTTCTATGAAACTAGTAATAAAAAGGGGGGTTTTGGTTTTGAGTGATTTAATTCAATTAAGAAACTAAGATGAACAACCTATATGTGTTTAATTTCAAGAATAAAAGGGACTTGGCTTTGCTACTTTCCACTTGTTGATATATTTTAGTCGATCCTTGTTATATCTATAACTTATCCCCTCTCGAATACTCAATCGAGGAGTATCTCCAATTCATCGAGGGTAGTTATTAACAACGACCGTTCATTAATAACCCTTACTATTAATCAAATATAGAACAACGCCTTATACCGATATAATAGTAGCATTCAATCTTTTTAACTCCTTGATGAAATCAATTGAGATTGATAACCTTAACACAACGGTTTCGGTTTAACCAACAAAATTGATCCCTCTTAAGTCTATTAACCACGACCGTGCATTAATAAACCGAAGTTACTTACTTGTGAAACCACCAACGATTAACCATCGGTTCGTTGATCGTTTCTAGTAGTAATTAATGTCGGAACGTTAACTAATCGTCACTTAGCAACCCTCCAACATTAATATAGAATGAGATTAAGGGAAGAATTAATAATCAAGAGAAGAAGTTAAGAAAATAACTCACAACTTTAATAATCAACAAGCTTCAAGAGCAAAACCAAGAATGGAAGTTTAGCTCCTCATTTGGAGGCTAAACATAGCTAGAAAAATATAAAGAAATGCTATTCTAAACTGAGCTAACGAGATTGGAAGAAGGGATCATCTTTTGTGAAGAAAAAGTGTGCTATTTATAGGTGTTTTTTCAACACCTTTGGCCGGGTACCCGACCGGGTATAGGTACATACCCGACCGGGTACCGGTCAAAATCAGATAATCTCCCACGTTTCATTGTTCCAGCACGTTAATTTGTCCGGGTCAAGTCAGACCCGACCGGGTCAAGTGAGGGACCCGACCGGGTTTGGTCTAAATCAGATTTTTCCCAAATCTTTGTGATCTTCAGCATGTTCCGGTGTTCCGGGTCATGTCAGACCCGACCGGGTCAAGTGAGGGACCCGACCGGGTCTTACTTTTCCTTCTTAGATCTGTTCCTCAACTGACCCGACCGGGTTCAAGGTCTGACCCGGTCGGGTTTTTGTGCTCCTGGGTCTTTTTGTCTTCAGTTTTTCTCCCTTTTTCCTTGCTACAAACTCTATCACTATTCTAAAACTCCGAAAAAGGAGAGAACAATTACAAACAAAATAAAACAAGTACTTACAAACTAACTAAAAGTGATGGAAAATCCGCACTCAATCAACATAAAAACATACGTTTATGCACTATAAACTAGTGCATATCAAACACCCCCACACTTGAATTTTTACTAGTCTCGAGTAAAACATATTCTGTCCAAGGGGTCCTTAATTGACAAGAGTAGCAACACCAACATCCACAAGTTTTTGTAACAAATACATAAAGCGTCTCCAAAACCAAAAGAGTAAATATGGGTCTTCAATTTCAATCCGAAGTCTCTATAGTACTCGCCCTCAGGATCCTGCAAAATCAAAAGAAATAACTTTCTCTCATTCTCTCATTTTGCCTAGGTGCCCTTTCAGGTTTTCAACCCAGCTTCCCACATTCTTTTTTTTTTTTATCTCACAAACTCACTCCTATTTTTGCTTTATTTTTGCTTAAGCTGCCCTTTGTGGGTTTTCAACTTAACAAGCTTTCGTTTATTTTTATTTTTTTTTGTTTTTGTTTTTAAATAACAAGAATAAAGAGTGTGAATGTGAACATACCGGGAAGATCTCCCCCACCACTAGTCCGTGGCACAGTCCCTAGTGCCCGCCCGCATCTCCGCCATCGAAAACTCCTCCATAGCCTCTGTACTGTGTATCCTCGTCCATATGATCCCCGCTGTATCCGTCTTCCCCGCCTCCACCACTAGAGGTTGAGCCACCAAAATAACCCCATTCAGTGGGGCTGTACCATGAAGGTGCCGGAGGAGTGGTCATGGAGGTGAAGTTTCCCTGATGCGCGATATAGGAGTAGATTGGCCCAAAAAGTCCTCCTTTGATCTTCTTCATATCGGCGCCAATCTTCTCGCCTTTGTTCTTCAATCCTCTCGAAGCTGTGCCTTTGCTCATTTCTGTACAGCCCGACTTCCTCCCGAAGTTGGGTGTAATTGAGGTTGAGAGCATTCATGCTGTTTAGCATTTCTTGCTCAAATGGAGAGTATTGATGAGCATGTGGTTGTGGGCGAGGTTGTTCAGGAATGATGGGTGGTGCTTCAAGGGCAGGCTGTTCATTGGCGACTTCATTGTCCCCCGCCTCATTTTCTGGGGGTGCAAAGTGTGGTGGAATTCCCCCGGGCATACAATAGTGGTGTCCATCACCGATTTGGTGATCGATGATGTTAAGCGGGAGGTTTTCGGAAGGGAAGGGGTAGAATAGTTCTTGGCCTGGTTTGATGTGCCAATTGTAGATTTCTAGGCCATCATGTTCGATATGTGAGAGGGTCACATCGCCAGCATTCTTTAAAAATTGAAGGCCAAGAAGGGTCATGTGGTTTTGTGCACCATTGCATACAAAACCATATAACGTGGCAATGTGGGTAATTAGACCCCCTATCAGAATTTTTCCTCCACCACTTTTAACATTGATGATGTGATCCCAAAGAACTGTGGTCACATCATATGGCCCGGCACCCGGAAGAACAGCTTGTGCTAAGAGGCATACATCCCACACCCTAGTTTGATGGTTGTTTGGTCTTCCGAAAAAGCAATTAGCCAAGAATTTTAAGAAAATTCGGAAGACCGGGTGTTGGACATGGTTGACATTGAGGTGGGAGGTACGAATTTTGACAATTCCGGTCATTCTTCCCCATAGTTCATAGGCCACCGGTGAGCTATACGCTACCGTGTCATCAAGCAAAGGTAGACCGAAGTGTTCAGCGAATTCTCATTTGGTGAGTGAGTGGTTCTCGTTGAGCAAACGAAAGTTGATCGTGTTATTTGTGTGATCATTTGCATCCTTCACATGCTCAACGGAACTGTAGAATTCATATACCAAACGAGAATATGGCCAATAGTGCATATCAAATATTTTAAGCATGTCACACCTTTGGAATATCTCTCTCATAATGTCATGAATCCAGAACATTGTTAAAGTCAATTGGCATACAAAGCGGGAGGGTTTTACCTCTCGTTCGGATTGTTCAAGGAAGCGGATGCGTTGTGATTCGGTCTCAAACTCCACTGATTCGAAGCCCTCTACTGGTGGAATAGCTCTTGGAGCTCTTGAAGAAGAAGCTCTTGCCTTTTTTGGTGCCATGGAATTGTTTTTCTCCCCTTTTTTTTGGAAGGGTTTTTGATTTTTTTTTTTGAGATGTAAGGTTTGGTGAGGGTGAGTGGTATGGTTTTGTAGAGGATGATGAGGAGAAGAGGTTTTTGGTGTTTGTTGGGGAATTTTGCTTGAAATTGGACCTTGAATGTCCGAAAATGGAGAGGTTCGAAATTTGGGGTAGGGTTTTTGAGTTTGGTTGATTTGGGGGATTTTGGAGGGATTAATTGGTGTAGGGTGGAAGAGGGAGGTGAGGAGATGAAGAAATTGATGTTTTTTGATGGATTTGGTGTGGGAATGAGGGAGATTTGGGAGTTTTGGTGGATGAAAATGGAGGTTTGGGGAGAATTTGTTCGAAATTTGGGGAGAAGGAATGGGGAAGAAGAACAAATGCCCGACCTGGTATATGCTGAAAAGTCGTTGACCCGGTCGGGTCCCCTTATTTACCCGATCGGGTCAGCGTTCCGGAGGTAGGAAGAATGTTTTTTTGGCTGGACACCCGGTCGGGTCTCCTTATTTGACCCGGTCGGGTAAGCTGCGTTCTTAACCAGTGAGGTCTGGTTGTTGATACCCGATCGGGTGAAATAAGGTACCCGGTCGGGTTTTGCCCCCTTTTATCAGTTTTTTCACTCCCCCACCCGGGTAGCCATCGGGTATCTCCGTCTGTCTGCAATACCCGACCGGGTGAACTCACATACCCGGTCGGGTCTCCTTATTTTTTTTTAAATTCATTTCCCCACCCGAGTAGCCATGCGGGTATCCCTGTAATCCTGTAATACCCGACCGGGTGAGTTGTGATACCCGGCCGGGTATACTCCAAATTCATTTTTTTTTATGAAATGATTTTACACACACACTCTACTAAAAAAAGAAGAAAAACATACCGTGCATGGGTTGCCTCCCAAGAAGCGCTTTATTTAACGTCGTGGCTCGACGATATCTTCTGTTGTTCCTCATTCGTAGACCGATTCAGAAAGGTCTACGACTTCCACATTTTTGGGTTGAAA